TGTAGGGGGGCTTAAAACATGGGTGAGGAAAAGGCGTTCACGGTGGCCAAGGATTTATGGGCCTCACTTCATAATAGGAAGTGGTAACGTTCAATGTTGTCAAAGGCCCAAAAACAAAACAACCTACCTGAGAACTCAGAAAGCAGACACATTCATCACCTTAAAAACACCATTAAAAAATCTTTTTCCCCTGTAACCCATAACTAACTACACAAAACCACCTGGTGGTTCACATTCTTACCACTCACACCCATTTGGGACTAACAAAAATATTAATCTCAATCTTAAAAATGAATCTTTGATAACTCAATACTGAAACTTGTACTGTGCCAAAACAAAAGCATTCCATTGCTAAACTCCACAACTGTATTTAGTCACTTGCGGGGGGGCAAATACCAACTACCTCATAATTTGTAATTTTAAAATTAGAAATTTACTAAGTCTGCGCCAAAATGCCTGCCATGATAGGTGTTCTAGTGGTAACTCTGTAACATTATTTTTAACTACATGTAAACACAATAACAAATTCTGTAAACTCGCATTGTAATCATATAGATATAAACTTTGAATTGAATTGAATTGATTGAATTGACGGACCGCTGCAACTAAGTGTAAATAGTGAAGAATGGTAGGACCGGATAGTGACTTGTGCGCCGCATTGTGTCCGGGAAAATGCCCGTGATTTAATCCTCACTTAATGGTCTCAGATCTTAATAGAGTGACCTCTAATGTTGTAATAATAATATGAGACATTAAATCGCTTGTGAACTGTAATAAGAGATAAGATAAGATAAGAAATTCTTCGGATTTTTAACAATTCCCGAGGATTTACACGCCAGGAAACCCAAGAAAGTCAGTGCTCATCGAGGGACTGCTAACTTATTTCCATGGGTCCTTAATCTTTCCCCAGGATGCGTAACCCACAACCAGTCGACTAACACCCATGTAACCTAATTGTTGCAAGGGAACAGGTCAACAGGTGTAAAACGTGTCGAAATGTTTCACCCGCCGGGAATCGAACTTCGGCCCTCCGTGGTGTGAAGCGGAGTTTAAGCCAACAGGCCATCAGGGCACCCAAACAGGCCATCGGGCCACCAATGTAATCAATGATAATAACATTAAGTTAAGAGAATGCGTGAAGTGAAATAAGTCACCTTGCCCCGAGTGAACACGTTAGACCTCGTGTTCCTGTCCCGAGGATAGTGAAGTTTTCATGGAGTCACGACTTGTAAACCGGGACAAACAAACGAATACCTCGTCCTGTTGGAATAAGAATTGTGTCGGTGTAGCAGGACATCGAAATGAGATGGTGAATGGAGGAAATAAGGAGCATCAATCACCCACAGTTAAGTAACCCTTCTAGTTATAGCAGACTGATACTGGCCAGTTAGGTATGTTGTAATTGAATAGGTTATGGGTGATCCAGCTACATCAAGTGACCACCAGAGAATATCTGGTAAGTGGTGAGATTATGTACAAGTGTTTTTCCTTGATATATATATCCATGTGTAACCTACCCCCTTCCCCCTTCATTCAGTTACACTAATATAATCTATACAATCCACAATTAATTAGTAGCGCCGTACTTGTGGGTGCTATCCAATCTATACTGGTCTCGGATAGATATGGATAAGATTGTGAGGTCGAAGGCCCACCTGCAGTGACCAGGGGTGGTGAAGTTTTCTCACATGTCTTCACGGGGTGACTACGGTAAACAATATAGTGTTGTCTCCCAATGAGATTACTTGTATGTATATTTATTTATTTATTTATTTATTTAGTAATTTAAGCATACATACAGAGGTACAAAAAATACAGGTAAGAGCAGCATGCCAAAGCCACTTATATGCATAGCATTACGGGCTGGCTTAAAATTAACTTAAGATTAACTAAGCAATGATGAAATCAGTGATAAACATTATTGTAAACAGATAACTATAAAGCACAAACGAGTATTACAAAGACAGGTCATATGGTTGCATGCATTGCTGTACATTCAGTCGAATGGAGTATTCTGTTAGGTTTTACCTGGAGAGAGAGGTAGTGTATTTAAAAAAATAACAAAGTTAGATTGGGTCCTAGGTTTAACATTTGTGTGATATAATTGTGAGTAACATATAGGATATACAATTTATAAGGTTCAGTTATTCAGTATTTATTTAGTTTTGAGTGAGTAAGTGATCTTTGAGAAGAGACTTGAATTTATAAACAGGTAGTGTTTCTTTTATATTTACAGGTAATGAATTCCAGATTTTAGGGCCTTTTATGTGCATTGAGTTTTTGCATAGCGTGAGATGGACACGAGGAAAATCAAAGAGTGATCTGTGCCTTGTGTTAGGTCATGTGTTTCTGTTGAGGTTGCAAGGAGATGTTTGAGGGGAGGGTTAATATCAGAGTTAAGTGTTCTATGTATGTAATAGGTGCAGTAATAAGTATGGATGTTTTGTATGGTGAGTAGGTTGAGTGTTTTGATATTGGTGGAGTGTGCTAGCCTGTAGTGAGAATTTGATTATTCATTCTAACTGCAGCCTTTTGTTGGGTAATTAGTGGTCTGAGATGGTTAATTGTTGTTGAGGCCCCATGCACAAATTCCATAGGTGAGATAGGGGTAAATAAGAGAGTGATAAAGGGCCAGGATGCTGACTGTGGAACATAGTACCGTATCTTCGATAGTATGCCTACAGTCTTGGAAATTTTCTTAGAAATTTGTTGTATATGTGTATGAAATTTGAGTCTATTATCAAGTGGATTCCTAAGAATTTTCCCTCTGTTAGCTTTGTGATAGGTGATCTGTTTATCGTTATGTTAAGAGGTACATCTGTAGCTGTTACCAAACTGAATGAAGTAGGTTTTGTCAATGTTTAATGTAAGTTTGTTAGTCCTCATCCAGGTAGATATTTTCTGTAATTCGGTATTTACAGTATTGGCTAGCGTGACTGGGCTCGGGTGAGAGAAGACGTATGTAGTGTCATCTGCAAAAAGTGTGGGTTTGAGTAATTGCGAAGCATTTGGTAGGTCATTTATGTATAGGAGAAAGAGAAGAGGGCCAAGGACACTTCCCTGTGGGACACCAACTGTAATTGGTTGAGGTACATACAGGTAACACCCTAGAAAATTTTCCGTAGGGGATATGGTGTTGGTCCAGATGTGGCCTAGTAGGGAAACACTAGTCTCTGTAACTTGTAGGTTTTGTTACTGTTGGTAGCAATATGCAGTTACTCATTGTGTTTGTGAATTCAGTAACATGTGGGTCCTGGTCTTGCAGGAGATTTATATTGAAGTCACCTGAGAGTAGTAAGTGATCTTTGTTCATGCGTGCATCAGTTAATCATACTTCCTAGGTTATCACTAAAACGGCTAATGTTTGACTGTGGAACTCTGTAGATGTTTATCACTGTGAGAGGTTTTTGTAGGTATTTGGATTTGAATTTAGCTATTATATATTCCCCATGTTCATCCCTTGTGCAAGTATTAGTGATACATTCTAGTTGGTCTGAGTAGTATATAGCTGTGCCACCCCCTTGTTGGTCTGGCCTACAGTTGTATG